GTATTTCCTCAGCGACCAGCACGGATCAGCTCTAGGCATGACGAAGCGGATATCGTCCTCTTTTGGAAGACCAAACAAAGTAGTTTCGCTTTCACAACGAAGCACACAGCACCTTCACAACATGGCGGTGGCAGCAACAACAATACTACAGCGAGAATAAAAGTTACGCCTTCGTTTTTTGCGTGAACATTTGGGCGGCGTTATGTAAATCTTCACACATCGTGACATAGACATGTGGGGGCGTGTTAGAACGAGCCGTTTTGTGGCTGACTCTTAACTTTTATAAAGAATATCTCTTTGGATTTGAGACTTTAGTCTTTGCAACTTTACAGATCTTCTTTATGCACCAAGAGCTTGTAACACTCCAAAGAGAAAGGAAAAATTTTAATCACATCACATGACCCCTTTAAACAATCGGGGCTGTAGACATGTTTTTGTTTTCTTTAAATTTAAATCACAATAAATTCATAGCTCTACAAATGATAAAGTAATGTTGAAAAAGAATGAAAAAAAAGTATCTGCTCCCATATCATCCAACTTTTCTTGCCCTTCTCCATTGGTAGATTTTTGTCATCATCAGTCAGACCCTAAGAATAGCATTCCTGTTGTTGGTGCTATGCCGTCCCGAATATATACCCCTCTGTACTGAATTCTTAAGCAGCCTGAATGTGTGTGTGTGCATGAACATCTCACAGTGGTTGGGGAGAATACCAGGCCATCTCTGCCCAGACACCTCTCCACTATTCCTCTATTTTGTTTAGCCAAGCCTGTATGACCGCATCCACTCCCTTGATCTCAATTCTGTCTGTTTTCTGATAAAACCGAATTCCACCCATAATAACATTACATTTATGCTCATTTTGCCTATTTATACTACTGTATGCCCTAAAACTAGTATGTATTCATTTTCTGGAGAAAAATATGGATACTGCAAACTGTTTCACATACTATTTTTATAAAATAGGTATACAGTATATACTGTACAGTATGCAGTGTGCTAATATTCCATTCTGTGCATAGCCTGAGTTAATTCCCTTTAATTCCCCCATTTTGTGCTGTACAATTAGCACTGTGACAATTGGTGAAAATGTTCCTTTGTTTCCGCACAGCTGATCAGCACTATGAGCTCACTTGCTGAGTATTGTCTTCCTTCAATCCTGCGGACGCTATTTGACTGGTATAAAAGACAGAACGGCTTGGAAGACGAGTCCCACGAATATCGCCCACGTGCAAACACCAAGTCCAAAAAGTGAGTCTTCACCTAGATTTAAAGTTACTAATTTCTAAACTTTTTTTTAAAACTCTCTAATATTAACTAGAATACCATTAGGAGTGTGTAAACTCTTCTTAGACAAAATAAGACTCCCATATAGGGTATTGTGCCTTTTATAGGTACAAACGATATGTTTAAATGCCATTAGCAGGTATGGCAAAATGCTTGGTCAGTTTGTACCCTGTCTATAGTGTATACTTAAGATAAAACTAGAGCACACAATGTCAAGTATCTGCTCGTCTCATTTCCACAAATCTTTTTTATAAGTCTTTAAGTCAGTATAATCTGATTTAATGTCTTTTGCATAAGCGTGTTAATAGTATTCTGTGGAAGTTTAGATTTGTGTGTTTATGTACATTATGTGTGATCTAGTGTGGATGGAAGTGTGTGATTGATGCCTGTCATCAGGAAGCCTTGCCTTCATCTTATGAAATACAATCTCTACTGCAGTGTACTGCGTAGCAGCTCATCTGACATTAGGCCAGTAATAGCTAAAGAGCTGTGATGATTGGCTGTTGAATAGATTCGCTAACAAGATTAGCATCGTCCGGTGGATCTTTTTCCTGTGGACATTTTTATACAAGCCTACTTTCATAATAATGTTTTTTAATAATGTATTTTAGAAATGGTCCCTCCCTTTAAACATTTTCTTAGCCTAAATTCTTTGCCACATATGTATTAGTGGTAAAGGCAAGGTAGAAATTCCTCAGCAGTGATATGCGATCTCATGTCCACAGACCGTAATCAAATATCGCTATTGGCAGTTAGGTTTGGTTACATCAGCGCTTCAGAATCAAATACAGGCCATAGAGGACTTCAGAAGATCTCATGGAGCGAAACCCGGAAAGCATGTTTATATTAATATTGACATAAGCAGTGACTGTTTATCAAAATGTGATTTACTTAGTTTCTTCTCATTCCTTCTCTCTTTCAGTGATGAACTGCAGAAAGATTATCTGATGGAAAGGAGGGACTTAGCAATAGACTTCATATTCTCACTGGTGCTTATTGAGGTTTTAAAACAGGTAGGGTATGATTGAACAACCACAAAACTGACAACCTGCCTCAAACAAATACAACAGGAAGCAGAAATGTATAAAATTTTATGTGTATAATGTTTAATGTATAATTATTAATTTAATTTTAAATAAAAAATAATTTATTTCAATTTTGATTTAATCATTTACATTTTATTTTATTGTACTTATTTAATTTAAAGTAATAAATAAATATATTAATTAATGAAATGTATTTAATTATATTATATTATTTAATTTGTTAATATTGTAATAATATTCTATTATTTAATTTGTTAATTTACTCGTCCTTTTTCTCGCTTTCTTTGTAGATCCCTCTCCACCCTCTTCTGGATGGCCTCATTCAGGAAGTCATTAACCTGGCTTTCAAACACTTTAAGTACAAAGAGGGGTAACGATCCAAGTTATTTCCTCCATCCACCATAAGCCATTATTTTCCTGCATCTGTTTGCATGAGTAAATCTGCCTAATAAGCATTTTACATCATTTATAGTCCCTATTCGAGTGTACTCACTGAAAATGTAAGTGTTGTTAAGTCAGAATGGATTTTGCTGAAGGACAGTAAGATTGATGGTATTTCTCTGTCCTGCAGGTACCTTGGGTCCAACACAACCAACATGCACATAGTGGCTGATCTGTATGCAGAGGTTGTCGGTGTCGTGGCCCAGTCCAGGTAAATTATGAAGCAGCAAAATTAGCCAATAAGAACATATTTAAAGTTTCATATACAGTTATGAGGAGTGAGATTTTAGACCAGTGAAACCATTTTTGTTTGAAATTGTGTTGGGTCACCACTTGAAGTCCACTGTAAAATCTGGATCCTGAAGCAAAACCACTTCCGTTTGCAATAAAATTCCCATCTCACCGCGAAATGGTTGGCTCCATGATTCCTGTTGAAGACAGCGACCTTGTTTCAAGCTCAAAATGATGAGCTTTTTTTAAAAAAAAAACATTACCCTGATAGATGAGACATCTCGTCATGCTCACAGGAAGCTCCATCAGTGTCACATAAAGATGGAGTTTCTCCCTATCAGTATGAGAGCTCCAGATCTGACAGTAATGGCCTCTTTCCATATTTAATAGCATGAAAAATGCCCTTGTGGCTGCACTTATAATAAGTCTTACAATTCTGGTGTCTACATGTGTCTGTTGAAGTCGAATGACATATTAGGCATGCATGGGTCTGTACATCTTCGCCCCAGCACAGTACAAGATAAATAGCATAATTCAGTCAAACAGTGTGTACAGTGCAAATACACATTGTTACTTTATTTCTCTGAGTGGGAAACTAGCCAGTTTGTTTGTAGCTCACCTAAAACAAACATTGAGTCTTGCAGAGAGAGATGCCTCCCTATTCCCCCTCCAGATGCCTTTCTAAATATAGAGCTGAAGATCTCTCCCTCTGTCAGAGTGAACTCACAAACACTCCCTAACACATGTGTACAAGAAACATCCAAGTCCTGGCCAAACAGAATCTGCTGACTTTGGTGGAATGGATTTCAACTTGGGCTTCCCATCGTAATTTGATGGAATTAATTGGATTAATTGCAATTGGTCGCATATATCACGCATACTGAGAAAAGCCCTCAAATAAAGACAACTAAAAGAGACAGACAAGTATTGAATAGACAAGATGTTTGAATTTTGGTCAATCTGTCTAAAGTGGACATGGGATGCTTTCAGGCAGGACACATTTTTGTATACTGTCTGCAGTGTTTTTAAATTATGCACAAATGTAGACTGACATTTTGCCTATGTCTTGCTGTTTTTAGCTTCAGCATAAACTGTATGCTTCATTGTTTAGACTTACAAATGAGTAACATCATAAGCAATTTATTATAAAATATATTTTGCATAAATAGATAAGCAAGCAACAGCTTACAGTTAAATCTTCACTGCAAAATGATGGAAATCAAACCATAACTCTGCTGTATTGCTGTTGTATTATTTTTAAAAATAAATATTAATACCTCCCTTCCATTCTTCCCAGGTTTCCTGCTGTGAGGAAGAAGTTCATCTCAGAGTTGAAGGAGCTCAGGCAGAAAGAACAAAGCCCGCATGTGGTCCAGAGCACCATCAGCCTCATTATGGGGGTCAAGTTCTTTCGCATTAAAATGTACCCAGTGGAAGATTTTGAAGCATCTTTCCAGTTTATGCAGGTACACAATAAAACAATTCTACAGATGTTCTACTTTAATTGACAAACAGTGTACACTATGATAAATAAAAATCTTTCTCTTTTACTGTTATATGTTTATAGGAGTGTGCTCTGTATTTCTTGGAGGTGAAAGATAAGGACATTAAACACTCTCTGGCTGGACTCTTCGTAGAGATACTCGTCCCTGTAGCCGCAGTAAGTACAGCTGTCTCTGCTATAGTAAGCACTGCCAAGCTAAATGTTTGAATTTTTAAATGTATTTTTTATTTATGCACTAAATTGTAATTTGTTTAAGTAAGAAACAGTTTACAGAATATACTGATTTAAATAATGTAATAAGGACTTTTCTGTCCAAACTGTAACTCATACTCAACGTGATGTTTCTCTTCAGTCGGTAAAGAATGAGGTGAATGTGCCCTGTTTGAGAAACTTTGTGGAAACCCTCTACGACACAACGTTAGACCTGTCATCCAGAAAGAAACACTCTCTGGCAAGTCTTGCTCTCTTTTCTGATGCTTGAAAGCAGTAGAGGGAGATGCATCTACAGTAATTGGCTCATAGCTGATATGTTTTTGCTGTCTGTGATGTTTCAAATAGACCATCTCTAATCATTTTTCAAAGGTGCCCCAGTTATTTTCACGTCATTAAATTCATACCTCCTTTAAGCTGCCTAAGAATATTTTAAAATCTTTGTTTGTTTTTATGTTTATGTTAATAACTTTTTGATTATAGCTTTGACTAAGCTTTCACAGTTTTATTAGTAGTAACACTTTTTGGAACTGTGGTATTTTTGATTGGAACTTGTGTGTGTCAGAATTGTTACAGATATAAAGAGGTGTAGGGGAGAGACAATTTGAATACACTTTGTTCTAGAGTGATTCACTGTCTTTGCTCAGTCATTGAATTATATAATTCTTGTTAAGGACATATAATGTAATCATTGATCTGTCTTTTTTTCTTTCTCAGGCTCTGTATCCATTGGTAACGTGTCTGCTGTGTGTGAGCCAGAAGCAGATCTTTCTGAACAGATGGCACATCTTCCTCAACAACTGCCTGTCCAACCTGAAAGTGAGTCTTTGTGATCCACAAAGCTTGTGTGATACAGTAGACCTGAGAAGACGACACATTGTGGATGAGCATATTACAGCAGTTCACGTGGAAAAATGAATGCAGTTTTGTTGTGCAAGGTGCATCATGTGAACGCAAGTTCTTTTAACCATTAGAGCCCATTAGTCATGTGCACAGATATTTAAAGAGGCAGCAGTTACAAGCAAATAGCTGTTAAACGTGTGAAATGCAGAGGGAGGGCAGCAAATTGTAGGAATGTTTTGTTTGCTTGGAGGGGAGGCAGGTAGGACAGGAGAATCCTTTATCATTAGCTTTAACATCTCATTGTACATTTTGTACCTGTGTGGGGGTGTGAGAGAGGCAGAATGAAAGAATGAATGAAATTTGTCAATTTGCCAAGTTGTGGAACTTGTGGAAAATATACAGTTATAAGTATAACAAGTGCACACATTTGGTGATCATAATTTATTAAATGCATCACAGGAACATAACAGCCAAGTGCTCTTCTTTCAGAACAAAGACCATAAAATGGCCCGGGTGGCACTTGAATCCCTCTATCGGCTGCTGTGGGTCTACATGATCCGAATCAAATGTGAAAGCAACACTGCAACACAAAGGTAGCGTATTGAAAATCAGAAACATACAAGCCACAATTTAAGAAATATATTTGTAATATAAGAAATATAATGTACATTTCAAATGCATTACACTGACAGTGATGATGAAGAATAAGATTTGATAATGTTGATTCTGATGATTGACATCTGTTAATATGACATTTTTATTATTTTATCCATTCCAGCCGCCTCACCTCAATCATATCAACACTGTTCCCTAAGGGTTCACGGAGCGTCGTTCCTAGAGACATGCCGCTCAACATCTTTGTCAAGATAATTCAATTCATTGCCCAGGTTTGACACCCACTCACCTCTATAGACCCGATATGCATCTAAGAACATAATACACATCTATGTTTTTGTGTCATGGCTTTATCGTATGACACACAGTAATATCATATTTGTTTCTCTCCTTACTACAGGAAAGGCTGGATTTTGCAATGAAAGAAATAATATGTGATCTGCTGAGTGTTGGAAAATCAGCCAAAGCTTTTAGTTTAAATCCAGAGGTAATGTTTATACTCACACACAAACACACCCGCATGTTTACTTCAAATGTTCTAATGTTTTTAAATAAAGCTTAATTATAAATTCTAACTAAACCTAAAAAAAAAGGATTAGAATTATATAACTAAAATAATATGTGATTTGCTGAGTGCTGGAAAATTTCTGTATAGCCAAGTAAACCCATAAAAACACATTCATCCGATTAGACCGAGTTGAGATCTTGTCATGAAGAAATGCATATTGGGTTTATTTTCGGATATTTGTGTGGTGTATGTCCAGAGGATGAACATCGCTCTGAGAGCATTCCTCGTCATAGCCGATAACCTGCAGCAGAAAGATGGTGAACCACCCATGCCGAACACGGGGGCCACTTTGCCTTCTGGGAACACACTGAAGAAGAAAAAAACCTACCTCAGCAAAACTCTAACTGAGGAGGAAGCAAAACTTATAGGTCATGCCACTTATATTGTGAACACCTGCCTGTGTGTGCTTGAGTTTGTTGATGTACATTTTGCGTTTTTTTTACAGTCTGTATTATTTATGCCGTTCCCTGCAGGTATGGCACTGTATTATTCCCAGGTCAGGAAAGCCATTGATAACATCCTGAGGCACTTGGACAAGGAGGTGGGACGCTGCATGATGCTCACCAATGCCCAGATGCTTAACAAGGAACCTGAGGACATGATCACGTAAGCAGCTGTTTCTGGCCTGTCTCCACCTATTATTTATCTCTGAGCGTAACATGAGTGGGTGAAGGGATAATTCACAACCAGACGACTTTTGAGTCACATTCAGCCCACACACCCTGTTTAGACAGTTTGACATTCTCTTTTTTTCCTGTTTCCTTGTGTTTGTCTTTTCTCTGTCTCTCTCATTATTTACTTTTGCTTTACTCATCCCTTCTCTCTCTGGTCAGCGGTGAGAGAAAACCAAAGATTGACTTGTTCCGGACGTGTGTTGCGGCCATTCCCCGAATCCTGCCAGATGGCCTGTCCAAAATTGAGCTCATCGATCTCTTGGCCAGGTGAGGTTCACCATACACCCTTTGACGAAACAACACACCATGCAATAAAAAGCTTCAATCGTCATTGATTGTTTTTCTTTTTGCGTTCTGCAGGCTGACGGTCCACATGGATGATGAACTCAGACTTATTGCCCAGAATTCCCTGCAGAGTCTGCTGCTGGACTTCTCCGATTGGCGAGAAGACGTGCTGTTCGGGTACACTAACTTCCTGCTGCGTGAAGTGCAGGATAATATAAAAACAATAGAGTAAGATCGAATAGGAAAAGAGAATCGAATAGAAAATTAAAAAAATTTGATTCATAGTTAAAAAAAAATTGAAAACATACAGATAAGAATGAAATGGTTGTAATGCAAGAATGCAAAGGTTGGCACTAAAGCTTATTGACTGACTTGATTGTATTGAATTTGATGTTATGTGACCAGTTAAAATCATCCTAAACATGCATACACATGAAGTGGATTGATATCAGATACAGTACTAATCAATGCTAGACCTGTTAGTGTAACAAACTTTATTCAACAAGAGCCTTATGGCTGTCGTGTGATTCTGCTCTCAGGATGGCGATAAATCCATGATCGATGTTATGGACCAACTGGCCCCCAGCGTGCTGGAGAGTTTCGTCCATGTGGCCGTCTCTGACACTGTAAGCATTTCCCATTAGCCCAGCTGATGTGTTTTTGTTTATGTATCCATATGTTTATGTGTCGCTCTCAATATTGACCTCTACTTGCATAAAATTGTTCTACAAGGCTTTTATAGAACTCGGTTACCAAATGTTTGTGTCATAACACTCATGCATGCTTGCTCAAGTTCAGCTATTAAAATCTGTGTTCTGTGAAGGCCACCCTGCCCATGAGTCATCACGTGGACCTGCAGTGGCTGGTAGAGTGGAATGCCCGCCTGGTTAACAGCCACTATGACGTAAAGAGCCCGTCTCACGTGTGGATCTTCGCCCAGTCTGTGAAGGACCCCTGGGTGCTCTGCCTGTATAGCTTTCTTAGGCCAGAGCACCTCCCTAAGCACTGCTCCACGGCGCTCAGCTATGCCTGGCCCTACGCCTTCACACGCCTACAGCTGCTTATGCCGCTTGTTGACCCAAAGTGAGTTTTTCGATTATCTTTACTCTTAAAACTTGCCATTCATAGTAGTTTTGATGATTTTTTGCATGAATACTGTCAGAAAAATCTGACTTTAAAGAATAGACAGGTATTCATGTCCCCAGTGGAAGTTATTTTTGACCTCCTTTCTTTGGTACTCCCTGGCAGTAGTCCCGTTTACGCCAAAAAGACCAGCACGCCTGGATCAGCCGATGGCTATGTGACGCTGTGGAGGAATTACCTGATATTGTGCCTTGGTGTTGCCAAACCTAGTATCATGAGTCCAGGTCACCTGAGAGCCTCTACACCTGAAATCATGGCTACCACACCCGATGGCAGTGTCACGTATGACAACAAGGTACAATATGCCCATAGCAGGACAATTATGATTTGTAAAACAAAAGAACTGTGACATCATGAGTACATGTATGTGTTTATGATCAGGTGATAGGCACACCATCAGTGGCGTGGCTCCTGAAGCAGCTGGTTCCTCTCATGAGATCGGAGAGTTTAGAGATCACAGAGTCTCTCGTCCTAGGCTTTGGGCGAACAAATTCCCTAGTGTTCAGGTATTGTTTTTAATTAAAAAGCTTCTATCTCATTCTAATAAGCTATTTAGCAAAAAACAGATTTTCATATTTTTCATAGGATTATTTCCTAAACCAGGGCAGTTTTACAGCAGATACAGGTGCATCTCAATAAATTAGAATGTCATGGAAAAGTTCATTTATTTCAGTAATTCAACTCAAATTGTGAAACTCGTGTATTAAATAAATCCAATGCACACAGACTGAAGTAGTTTAAGTCTTTGGTTCTTTTAATTGTGACAAAAACAAAAACCCACCAATTCACTATGTCAACAAATTAGAATACTTCATAAGACCAATAAAATACTAAAACATTTTTTGTGAATTGTTGGCCTTCTGGAAAGTATGTTCATTTACTGTACATGTACTCAATACTTGGTAGGGGATCCTTTTGCTTTAATTACTGCCTCAATTCATAACTCTGTCAACCACTTTTGTGTCTTTTGCCGCACACAGTGAGGAAGCTTTAAAAATTGTGAGAAGTTTGAGAACAGCAAATGAAAATAGCAGCAAGTAATGTGTGTCAAACAAAATAGCAGAGATGATTGTCATTCCATTCTGACGTGTGCCATTACTTAGAAGTGGACAAACGTCTACAGATTCTATAAGACGTGGTTTACTGAAGCACAGGCAGTGTTGTTATTGTTAACTAAATCTAAAACTATTAAAAATTGTTTCCAGTAATTTGAATAAAGTTGAAATAAAATGTAAATATTTGATAAAACTTTTAAAAATTCAATGAAATTAGAAATGTTGCCTTCCCAACTAACTGAACAAACTTTTAAGTTAAAGTACTGAAATTACTAAACATGGAAAAAGAAATTAAAGCTAAAAATAAATATTAAAAAAAATCACAAAAGCGCATACATTTAATAACCACTTAAAATTAAATCAAAATGAAAACTGAAAATATAAAAATAAAAGGTCATTCAAAATATGAATAAAGCCTTTAATAGTATATAAAATACTACAATAACACTGAGCAGAAACTATTTATTGTAACTTTTCAACCATAGACATATCAATTTTAATTTTGTTATGAATTCATTTCTCATGACTGTTTCATACATGTGTGTTTGATTAGGGAGCTGGTGGAAGAACTCCATCCTCTAATGAAAGAAGCTCTGGAGAGGAGGCCCGAGGTAAGTGCTCTGTCCTAATGCAGCTCTTTGGAAACCCTGTAGATAACATAGGATGTATTTTTGGGTCCATAGTGCACTGGCAATATGAGTTCATGCACATTTGTAGATTTAAATCGAGCCTCTCCATGTTATTTTCTCTTTCTGTCTCTGTAGAATAAGAAGCGTAGAGAGCGAAGAGATCTGCTTCGGCTGCAGCTGCTGCGTATCTTTGAACTTCTTGCTGACTCAGGGGTCATCAGTGACAGGTGAACTAGTCCACTCACCCCATACCTGTTTTGTGGACTAATGAAGTCAAATCCTAGGTTTAACTTTTTAAGCAGATCTTCTTTCACAACAAATCAAGTCTTTGAACTCTGTTGGATTAAAACGGGGAAAGGGAAAGTCTTGTAAAAATCCCTTGTGCATCTGTTTTACTCTTCTCTTCTTCTCTGCAGTACCAATGGGGCATTGGAACGAGATTCCCTGGCTCTAGGAGCCCTTTTTCTGGAGTATGTCGATCTGACCCGGATGCTCTTAGAAGCAGAGAATGACAAAGAGCTGGACATTTTGAAAGACATGAGAGCTCATTTCAGTGGAATGGTGGCCAACCTCATCCAGTGTGTTCCAGGTAAAACATGGAGAAAATACTTTGAATATCCCTAAACTATTTCAGAATTTCAATCACAAATGTCCTCTCCATTAGCATCTCAAATATCTTTCCCAGTGTACAATAAATACTCAAAGTACTCCCAAATGTACTCCAGAATACCAAAGACCATAATGAGAGCAGGTCAGATATTTTAGCTGATATAATAGAGCCGTTGATATACTGGTCTTGGTGTCTAAGGTTATCTAAACATGCCGCCTGTTCAAAGCCTCAGAAGCCACTAACACGAATGAGTCACTTATTAGAGGCCCAGGAGCAGAGCTATGAATAGAACGGTTCTGGCTCTGATTAATACGTGCTGACTGACCAAGAAAACCCTCAGACCAGCAGAGCACAACATCCCCTCTAACCAGAAGCCCTGCGTCACAGCCAGCTCTCACATTTAAAAGCTGGTTGTGATGTAGGGCTCTTTAGTGTGTTGACATACTGAAATAAATTAGATGAGTATTGCTATTTTTTATGAATAAATACAACAAACTCATATGTGAACATTTTTGAACTTTCAATTCATCAACGAAAAAAAATTGTATCACCGTTTCCACAAAAGTATTAAATATTATGTATTAGAATTATAAGAAATGTTTCTTGATTACCAAACCAGCAATAGCTACTAAAAAATTAGCTGTGCCATCATAGGAATAAGTTATATTTTCAAATATATCAACAAAGAAAAAAGTTATTTAAAATTGTAATAATATTTCACTATTAGCTTTGGTTAGCATAAGAGTAGTCTTTTTAAAGCATTAAAAATCTTACCGACCCAAATTTTTTAACTGTAGTGTACATACCTTTGAATAATACCAGTTAATTTTAGATATGAAGTTTTACACTGTACCATGCTGAGAGTAAAAAAAAATATTATAAAATGTTCCTCAGGTCTCATTCGTGTTTTTCTCTTTAGTCCACAACAGGCGGTTATTGTTCCCCCAGCAGAGCTTGAGGCATCACCTCTTCATTCTCTTCAGCCAGTGGGCTGGACCCTTCAGTGTCATGTTCACACCTCTGGACCGCTATAGTGATCGCAACCACCAGATCACACGCTACCAGTACTGTGCTTTGAAGGTAAACCCAGATAAAAAAAATCTGCTCATTGACATCTCAGAGAATCACCATTAAGGCATTTTATCAAACGAGTCTTTATTCCTTCATACTTGGCATATAGAAATATCTAGCGATTTAAGAGAACAGAGGAAGTTTTTAATTTGCCCTCACAATTTGGTGCCGTTTGTATCTTTGGAAGGAAGAAAAGATAGAGTTATGTTAACAGCACTAAATCAAGTGGAAACCTCTGAAATCCAATCTGGAAAGTACCTGTATGCTCAATTAACAACTGGCGGGTGTCTTGCGGAAAATTCCCCAAGCTCTCTGCACCCTCTTTGTCCAAAAAGGCATTCACTTGGCAGCTCCAACCTTTTTTTTAGTATAAGGTGTGAAAAGCCTATTCTGTGTGTCACAATGGATCAGGGCTGTTAGACAGAATTAACTTGTGTGTAAAGTTTAAGAGTAGTGTGTAATTTCAGTCTCATGATGAAGATTAATTTTAAAGTCTTATTCCTTTCAGAACTGTGGTTTGTCCACATGCTCCAAACCATTGAGCTCTGATATGAGATGTTCTTTGATGTAATGCTGCATTTGTGTGTGTACATGGTTTGTTGTCAGGCTATGTCAGCGGTATTATGTTGTGGCCCTGTGTTCGATAACGTGGGCCTTTCTTCAGATGGATATTTGTACAAGTGGCTGGACAATATATTAGCCTGCCATGATCTCCGGGTAAGCATTCACTCGCTCTTTCTTTATTGCTGGAAAGGTTCCTGTGTCAGCTGTAGTCCTTGTTTTAACCTGTTGATGCTGAACAGGCTTCCTGTTTAAATTTTATAGCTGCTTTTCATCAGGTTTAATACCTGTCATTAAAACTAAAACAATAAGCCTTTCAGGATTGGCCTGTGAACATATTTTGTTTTATTTGCTTTTCTGCTTTATTGACTTTATTGGGTCTGGGTTGTCAACCATTTAAATGAGTTTTATCTTATTTGTTTAGGTCTGCAGTTAAAGTTGAAATTAATGACTGACAGATTGGAATAACTTTAATTCTGCTTTGATTATGGGAAAAGCACACATTTAAACACTGATGTTTTTATCACCGCCCTGGGCTGCAGGTGCATCGGCTGGGCTGTGAGGTTGTTATCTTGCTCCTGGAACTAAACCCAGATCAGGTGAATCTTTTTAACTGGGCTGTGGATCGCTGCTTCACTGGATCATACCAGCTTGCTTCAGGGTGCTTCAAAGCTATTGCTACTGTGTGCGGTAGCAGGTAATTAGAGCCTTCATCATTGGCAAGGTTACCTTTAATGACGTTTCATGATTTTTTATTTATTTTATTTTTTTCAGGAATTATCCATGTGACATCGTGACCCTTTTGAATCTGGTGTTGTTTAAGTCATCTGACACAAGTAGAGAGATTTACGAGATATCCATGCAGCTCATGCAGGTACCTGATTTTTTTTTCCAAGTCAGTTTGTCAAGTTCAGATTTTTATTTGCCTTTCCTGTATTTTCAGTGGCTGAAAGATTTATTTATTAATGCATATTTTCTTTTATATAAGTCAGAAATGTTTATACAAAATAAACAAATAAATAAATTTCCAGCTCCAAAATATTTTCTGTGTCATCCAGGTCCTGGAGTCTAAGTTGTCCGTTTACTCAAAGAAGATTGTGGGACAAAAATCAGGAAATATCCTGTATGGCACACATGGTCCTTTACCACCACTATACAGCGTTTCTCTCTTCCAGCTCTCAAACCAGCTGGCCTGCATGTATCCTGAACTCACCCTGCCTCTCTTCTCAGGTAATGTGTGCACGACTTTGTCTGTGACACACTTAAGGCTGATTTATACTTCTGCGTCGGACCTACGCCGTAGGCTGTGCGTCGGTTTTCATTTATACTTCTGCGTCGTTGTCTGTGTCAACGTGCAGTACACATGCAAACCTCTAGTCTGCAGTGTCCACGGGCATGTTGCTGGTGTAACCCGCAGTACCACGGCAAAAGCCGAAGAAGAGGCGACTCGTCGGAGAAGCATTATAGCCGTGACGGCGGCAAATAAATATCAAATCATTATTTAAAACTACAAAAAGGAGACAACGGAACAGGAGAAGATGGCATTCTTTCAGTCTCCACAAGGACTTGTACCATGGCAGATCAACATTGTTTGTCGCGGACAACTACTGATGTATAATGCTGTGTAGTATAATAAATGATAAGACACTTGTTCTTTGCTTTGTTTTATTTTAAATAAGAAGGTGTAACATTAAAATATATTAAACACACACAAAACTCATTTACGTATGGTGGGAGGGGTTCTAGCAGACCAATCACAGCGCTTGCGGTCCACGTAGAATTGACACGCTGTTAGATTTTTGGAGAGGTGCACGTCAGGCTACAGCGTAGCTATGGCGTAGGTTTGACGCAGAAGTATAAATTGGGCTTTACTCATGCTTTACAAGGAATACCTCTTAGCCAGATGTTTGGATGTATCACCAAATTGTTGTCCCACCAAAAGCAAATAAACACCTACATGCAAAAAAATGGTCCTGGTCGAGGGTGCTCTGTGTTATTGTACTGCAGATCAACTTTTGACCTTGCACTAAACCTGCCCACTCATTTGTTTATCCACAATCATCTCTCACATGCAGAGGTCAGCCAGAGGTTCCCCACCACTCACCCTAACGGCAGACAAATCATGCTGACCTACCTGCTGCCATGGCTGAACAACATAGAGCTGGTGGATACAGGATTGCTCCCCACAACCTCCAGCCCGTGCACTCCAGAGGAAGAGGCTCGTGAGCAGGCTGACGGCCTGGGAATCAGCCACAGGCTCAAAGGCAACGGCTGGGGCTCTCTGCAGGCCACCTCACTGGTCCTAAACAACCTTATGTTCATGACTGCAAAGGTGAGAGGCACTTTACTATTACGTAAATATCCAGTTGTGGCAACTCAACTCATACGAAAGAAAAGGCTCAAATTATATCTCTTTAATACCTCAGTTGATTCTACTAGAGGAAAACTAAATTATGATTATTTAGGGTGTTTATGCAAAATTTTTTCCCAATTATTATGCAGTGCTAAAGTACAATGCTGAAAAGTGTCGAAAATTGCCCCTTTAAAGGTTTGACAATCAACTAAGATGATTTGTATGGTTTCTCATCAGTATGGAGATGAAGTCCCAGGTCCTGAGATGGAGAATGCCTGGAATGCTCTTGTGGCCAATGACAAGTGGAGTAACAACCTGAGAATAACGCTGCAGTTCCTCATAAGCTTGTGCGGAGTCAGCAGTGACACTACACTGCTGCCATATGTAAGGAAAACACATATTAACCAACAATGTCATTTTATTAGATCTTTATAATGGGCCAAATTGTTTTGAACTGTTTTTAGATTAAGAAAGTGGTGATATATCTGTGTCGGAACAACACCATTCAGACCATGGAGGAGCTGATCTTTGAGCTTCAGCAGACAGACCCAGTAAACCCAGTGGTCCTACACTGTGACAACCCACCATTTTACCGCTTTGTTGCCAGCAACAAGACCTCCGTTGTGGCCTCAGGTAAGGCACATATGGTCCTTGGGGTGGGGTTTTAGCAGTATTTATTTTTTCTGAATGCAGTGTCAGAAGAAAAATCTTCTTAAAAATTCTTAATAAACTTAAGATTTTTAAAACAACTTTCAGACAGGTTTACAGGAAATAACTTATTTTTTAAGCTATGCAAATTGTATAATGAAGGTCTATAATTTATAAATTGTTGGAAGCACTATTCAATTAATAAATAATTCAGTCTATAAATTGACATATAGGTGCCTATAAATGTAGTACTAGCTCAGTTGAGCAGTGACAGTCCTATGCTTTGGTCCATCCAGTTTCAGAACCCTGGGTTGTACTGTATAGAATGCTGTGAATCTCATAACCCAATGTATGGTTATTCCCTAATAATGGTTGAATAATCAGGTTTTTGTTTGTTTGCAAAGGCACAACATCTAGCAGTAATACGGTAGTGGCCGGGCAAGAAAACTTCCAGGAGGCAGATGAGCCAAAGATCGCCAGAGAGAATGAAGAGAGGTACATCTTTCTTTATGTATCTTTAATTTCCTTAAAAATTGAGAGAGCCTTATTATTTAAAAAAAAAAAAATCTTTTTTTTATACACTAAATTCTCCACCACATATGGGCTGTAAGTTTTCATCCATCACGTATGTGCTGTCTAAGTAGGCAGCAACTGGGTTGTTAAACAGCTTAATTAATATATGTTGTCAATATGCATATGCGTTTTATGTTCCCTAACATGTGTTTTGTGCACACATTTTCTCAGGTTGAGCAGCGCAGCCCGGGCTCATAACCGCCTGGAATCACGCTACAGCAACAGCTCAGGAGGTTCTTATGATGAAGAGAAAAGTAAGTTCTTCATCTGATCGGACAACTTTGCGGTTCACAATACCGTGTGTGCAACTCCAGACTTTATAGGTTACAGTCAGTAATCCCCCAGATTACAAGAACAGAGCAACAGATGGTTCACAGCTGTCAATCCACACGCTGACACATACAACTAAGGATACATTTACACTCATTGTTTTACAGCTTTAAATTTCTAACAACTGACAACTGTACATGTGACTTACCATTTGGCGCATACTTTATATACCAATAATACATGCTCACTAGAGCATTGCGTCTCCGTATTAAGGAATTTGGTACTGAAATTTAGGTCACAACACATGCCTTTATCTGTATATTCTCTCATGAATGTGCATGTCAGCCAGTTGTGCACTCATATTTGTGAGTTTTGGGTGTGGGAGCTGCCAGCTTTTGTCCTGCCTACATACCTGTCAGGACAGCTGATGGACAAGTGGCAAGATGGCAGCTCTAATGGAGATGAATGATAAGATAATTGCCTGATACGCTCTGAATCAACTCATCACACCTCATGGTCATAAGAAGTGACAGACTGAAATTACTCTTTAATTTAATTAATTAGTTTAAAAAATGTATTCTTATTTATTTTTAATGTATTAATCATTTTTAATTCTAAATTGACAGTTTATTTCGAATTATAATTTTTTTTGATTAATGTAAAGATAAAACAACAAATAAAACAACATTACATTATACTTTAAGATAGTAGACATTTCAAGAACATTTTAGAAATATTTCCTGATGTATTTTGGCTGTATAAACTCAGATTCAGATGATTCAACTGATTTAAAGTTAGATCAATATGATTTAACGTTAATTGTTTGTGAAGCTATAGACACATTTAAAAATGTTCCCTTTTATAGGGCTTTCTGGAATGCTTGATTCTGATTGGTCAGTCCCAGCATTCTGTGGTCAAATATTGTTGTATAGTGGTGTTAACTGTATATTTGACTGTTGTGCCTTACAAACTTGTGCCAGTTTCATATCTTTCGTATCGTATGTTTAATGCCCATTTATTATGTTTATAATTCTGTTTTACTGTAATGCCCAGCTGATTTTTTGATGCCTATTGTGTGTGTTAACAGATGACCCTCTGCCTCCATATGCTGCCTGGTTGATAAGTGTATTGGAGAGTAACAGACCTCAGCCTCTTCCCATGCCTGTGAATGGAGGCTGTTGGGCCCCGCTGGTGGACTACCTGCCTGAGACCATCACCCCACGGGGACCCCTTCACAGGTACCACCCGACCCTTTCTTCTGCTTTTGATTTCATTTGCATTTTGATGTCAGACTGAATGAGATCGAAGATTTATAAAAGGTCTTAAATGTCCAAGGTAATTTTCTCCCTTTTGTGTTTCTACTCACAAAACATTTACACAAACATACATGGATTCACACCATAAACTCATCCTTAGAGAGTTGCTTTTGTTCAAGTGCAGCAGATGGATTTTGTTAAACCAATCCCATAAAACCCACATGTGTTAGTTTGCTGTAGCATTTTACAGCAGTTACCCACAACACTGTTTTGTTTACAAGAGAGGAATTGTTGTTCTATTACCTTGACAGCAGTTCTTACCAGCATCCTTGTGACGTTCAGTGATTTTTCAGGAGTTACAGACGATCAGGCATGCATCAGGGGTGGTGCAACAACATATTTGGGATTTGTATAAATAATCTAGTGAAGTGAAGTGAATTGACATGACGTGTAGCCAAGTATGGTGTCCCATACTCATAATTTGTGCTCTTAACCCATCATTTAACCCATCCAAGTGCACACACACAGCAGTGCGTAGTGAACACACACGCACACAACGTGAAAACATAATCTAATATAATCTGTCAAATTCATCAAATCTGTGCAGACTCACGCTGACACCTGAACAGGAAGATATACATCAAAACTAACGAGTTATTGAAAATATGAGCAGAATTGCATAACAGGAATACCTGGTAAAAATAAACTCCCCTCTGTGTTTTCTGTCTGGATATGCGCAAGCCAAATGAAGAGCCGTCTGTCTATACCAGTCGGTAATTTAATGGATCTTGAATTTAATTAGGTGATTCATAGTCACAGCTGTGCTTGACCCTGTTTGCCTTCATTTTAGGCCTTTTTGCCATTTTAATAGATAAAATAGCAAAAAGAGGATGGGAAATAATGGACAGAAGAGAAGCACTCAAGATTGTGAAATGTTGCATGCCAGATTCAAACGTGCATCATCCACATGAGCACTAGGCCACAGTTCTCTGTCTTATTGTATATGTACATCTTTCAGTGGATACTACAACCAGTCAGGTTAAGTATGTAACACTATTCTTGTTGCATGTTTGTGCCGGCAGATGTAACATAGCTGTGATCTTCATGACGGAGATGGTTGTGGACCACAGCGTGAGAGAAGACTGGGCACTACACCTGCCGCTGCTTCTTCATGCTCTCTTCCTAGGTAAACACTCTTTTATTTCCTCTCTCACCTCTTCTCTTTGTCTCACCTTTTTTTGTTTTTACATTGTTATTAAAATGTGAAGAAATCCCTGATCTAGACTGTACCTCTTTTAGCTAAAAGATGTGACGGAGTGTATGTTTGTGTCTGGGTGTCTCTCTGTGAGAACGCACTCACATCTTTGGTCTGGTCTATATAGTGGCCGTATTCTCCACCATAATTCACCCCAGCAGTCTGTCTGAATAACACAGTACAACAATGCAAGAAATGTGAAAAATGCCTGTGATGGAAAACAAGGCTGAGAAGGAAAGAAAGTGGGGGCTGGTGAAATGCCATCTACTCATAGCTTATCTCTCTCAGACTCTTGATGTCGTCAGCATTGTCCCACAACATGTTTCTCTTTTTGATTAGAGGCACACCTGTGATATTTTGTTTTTTCTCAAAATAGATTTGTAAGTTGTAGATTTGTAATTTGTAAGCAAATATTTGAAATTTGTATTAAAAAATAATATGAAAATAACATTAAAATATTGATTTATAGTATTCAGATATTTATAAATGCATTGTGGGAGTGGGCAGCTGCTTTGTTATGATTCTTTTGTTCCCATGGTAATGATAACTCCATCAGTGGAATACTCTGCGGGGCTGTGGTCAGTGTAGTTCTTAACCAGAAATTGAGCACCATTTTTAATGAATGTCAAATCACAAATTACACTAACATTTAATTTCTGTGCTCATGGTAGGTCTAAAAGTTTGTACGATTTAAACATTATAAAAAAAAATCCTGAACACTTGCGCTGTATTACAAGTATGCATTGTTGCACAGAGCCCTGTTTTGTGTTCTGTGCTTCTCCTTGGAAACATGATGTGTTATCAGCGTTATACAACCGTACAACAGTGGGAACACCCATTGAAAGTAATTTAATTCAGGTTCAGAACGTTGTTCATTCCTGTCCACTTCACTGACTTCTGTTCTATTAAGCTCAAATTAGTTCAGTTCATTTACCTGTGCATCTCAACCTCTGTCTCAGGTTTGGATCATTACCGGCCAGAGGTATTTGAGCACAGCAAGAGGTTACTCCTGCATCTCCTCATCGCCCTCTCCTGCAACAACAACTTCCAGGTCATTGCCTCTGTCCTGTTACTAACCAGAGAGATCGGTGACAACAAGACCCTCACCGTTAAATCCAGCTGCCAGCCTGAACACCTCTACCCAGGTAAAATCAGTTCTCTACCCAGAATCAAACATGACACAAAAAGACACCAACAACTGACAGAAATGAACATAGCGTTTCTTGCAGTGCACAAAAAGAATTCCAATTTCTTGATAGAGGTTTTGTTCCTTTGGGTACAGTCATTGTTTCTTTACTCACAATTCCTTGTTTTAAACACAACAACTGTACAAGAACACAGCGAGATCAATGCTCAAAAACAGAGAGACATTGCATAAAATTCATCTGACCTAATTTTGTCACATCACCTGCAGCAAAGAGCAGAGAGTGTGAGTATAAGATTCACAGCTTAAATTTACAAATGAGTAAGTAGGTAACTATTCTGAAGCTAAAGCCCAAGGGTTAGGATTTAACTCTCTTTGGCATAGAATTCAAAGTATTTTTGGCAGCTGTTTGTCTTTATCACTATAGAAGAGACTGAGGTAATTAGGCCAAACACTATGCCAAGTCCCATTTTGCATTATGACAGATTTTTCTGGCATTAATCTTTTATGCTGCGTGTCACTGATGCTTCTGTTTCCTTGTTTACTGATACCGGAGTAGATACACATGTGAAAAGTCACCGCTTAAAATTAAAGGTTGGAATACAAATCACATTTTTTAGATGTTTTTTTTAGATAAGTGTGGTTCATATTATGATTGTACAGACATGATGCGAAGACGAATTCAAAATAGCGAAAAGGCTCATTTTAAAAAGCAGGTCGCGGTCACAATAATAATATATATATATTTTTAAATGTTTATAGTTTTGCTTGGTTATAACCTGCATGCATTGCATACCTAAACCACACTCTCATCTGAACAGGGGGGTTTGATTTCCTGCGGGAGTGGCAGGCATCACCAGTGGCGGATTCTGGACTTAGCTCGTCCTCCACCTCCTCTAGTGTGAGCCTGGGAGGAAGCATTGGAAACCTGCCACAAATCACAGCTGACCTGGAGGAACTAGACGAGTCCTCCACAGAATCAGAGGAGAAAACCAACAAGCTCATTGAGTTCCTCACCACTAGGTATGTGGCAAAGATACTGTTTTTTAGCAGTTGTTTAGATATATGTGGATGATTTATGCTGCGTGTCACTGATGCTTCTGTTTCCTTGTTTACTGATACCGGAGTAGATACACATGTGAAAAGTCACTGCTTAAAATTAAAGGTTGGAATACAAATCACATTTTTTAGATGTTTTTTTTAGATAAGTGTGGTTCATATTATGATTGTACAGACATGATGCGAAGACGAATTCAAAATAGCGAAAAGGCTCATTTAAAAAGCAGGTCGCGGTCACAATAAAAATATATATATATTTTTAAATGTTTATAGTTTTGCTTGGTTATAACCTGCATGCATTGCATACCTAAACCACACTCTCATCTGAACAGGGGGGTTTGATTTCCTGCGGGAGTGGCAGGCATCACCAGTGGCGGATTCTGGACTTAGCTCGTCCTCCACCTCCTCTAGTGTGAGCCTGGGAGGAAGCATTGGAAACCTGCCACAAATCACAGCTGACCTGGAGGAACTAGACGAGTCCTCCACAGAATCAGAGGAGAAAACCAACAAGCTCATTGAGTTCCTCACCACTAGGTATGTGGCAAAGATACTGTTTTTTAGCAGTTGTTTAGATATATGTGGATGAAAATAGAACTCAAATGGGAGTATTTTTTCATACACAAAGCCTAAAATGAATGAGGAGTAAGACACAAATCTAGAATGCATATAAATATGTTTATCAAGATGACAAGACAAAAATGGATGGTGCATCAACTATCAAATATTCCAAAGCTCACACATCCCCTAGTGGCCAAAGATCAAAATATTTTTTTATTTTTAAATAAAATTCTAAATAATTATTCCATCATTTATTTTTAATTAATTGTTATTATTATTTTAATATTTTATTACTTAAATTAGTTGAAATGTTTTATATTATTTAGTTTATTTTAAATTTATTTAAATTTATTTTATTTTAATTTTGATAAATATCTCAAACTCATATTGTTTCCATTTTTTCTCCGGCTAAATTGGGCATTTCCCAGAGTCATTAAATCAGGCATTTAGAGAGCAGTAGTTCATGTATTTGTGATTTCGGTGGTGGTGGTGGTACAGTGCATGGAGTACTGTCCTGTCCTTACTTAGGGCGTTCGGACCGCTTTGGTGCCATGAAGACATCACACCAAAGAACCCCAACTCTAAGAGTACCGAGCAGCTCACCAACTTCCTCCGGCATGTGGTTTCTGTATTCAAGGAGTCCAAATCAGGTAATTACCAAAAATTCTTAGTGCATTTATGTGTCTTATTTACAGAATGAAATATCCTGTACATTATATATTGGAACAGAGGTTGTTTGATAAGTGACTGATAAATGTCGTGTCAGATTTCCATCTAGAGCATCAGCTGAGCGACGTTGCTTTGCAGACGGCACTCTGCAGCTCCTCCCGCCATTACGCCGGGCGCTCGCTCCAGATCTTCCGTGCCTTGAGACAACCCCTCTCTGCCCATGCTGTATCTGACCTACTCTCACGCCTTGTGGAGGTTGTGGGGGAACATGGGGATGAAGTACAGGTGTGCAAGAGTTTCACTTAACATCCATGCAATAAATACTATAATGATATAACTCTCTGGAGTACTTCAGTTTGATTGGTTAAATGCAATTGGTGGTCAAATAATTCTTAATATCTTTTCTTGCCTTCCAGGGTTACGTAATGGAGATTTTACTCACTCTAGAGTCTGTTGTAGATAATTTAGCTGAATGTCTGAACAACAGTGAGCTTATGGCAGCTTTGACGAGGTGAGAATTGCATCCCGTACGTCATGCTTTCCACCGATGTCAGCCTAAAATATTTCATAGCTACTGTTCAAAAGTGTGGGGTCAATAAGATTTTTAAAAATAAATTAAAAATAATAAAAATAACAAATTAAATAAAAAATAATACATTTTATTCAGCAAGGATGCATTAAATTGATCAAAAGTGAAAGTAAAGACTTTTACAAAAGACTTTTATTTCAAATAAATGCTGTTCTTTTAAACTTTTTACTCGTCAAAGAATCCTAAGAAAAATATCATGATTTCCACCAAAGTATTAAGCAGCACAACTGTTTTCAAGAAATGTTTTTTGAGCACCAAATCAGCATGTTATCATTTCTAAAGGATCATGTGACCCTGAAGACTGGAGTAATGACTGCTTTAATGGCAGTTCAGTTTTGCCATCACAGGAATTTATTAAATTTATATTCAAATAGAAAACAGTTATTTTAAACTGTAATAATATTACTGTTTTACTGTATTTTGGGTCAATAAATGCAGCCTTTGTGAGCATAAGATATTTCTTTCAAAAACATTAAAAACTTTTACCGCCCCCAAACTTTTGAATGGTAGTATTGATAACAATATAACAGGAAAAAGTATTAAATTATTCATCTGTTTTTCTTAACATACCTGCAATGTCTCTTCCACGTACAGAGATTCCTCTCCAGACTTCCTGGTGAGCGGGAAGCTCAACCCAAACCGTAAGAGCACAGGGCAGCTGAACCTGCACCAAGAGGGTGGGACTAACGAGCGGAACAGGCATCAGCGCAGTTACTCCGTCCCGAAGAAGTTTGGCGAAAGTGGGGAAAACTCATCCTCCAACCCTCCTCGCAGCGCCACGCTGGACCGCATCCAAGCCTGTACCCAACAAGGTCTTGCCCGATCAGCCCGCAGTACATCCTCAAACTCTACCCGCGCTGACACAAGTGTCATCACCGACCCCTCCCACTCCAGTCACCCCGCCAACCTGCTTGCCACCATCTTCTGGGTGGCGGTGTCACTCATGGAGTCAGACTTTGAATTCGAGTACCAGATGTCATTGAGGCTGGTACACAAACTGCTGGCACGGGTTCCGTTGGATCTGCAGGAGAACAGGGAGAGACTTGAGAAGCTCCAGGCCCAGCTGAGGTGGAGTGGCTTTTCCGGGCTGCAGCAGCTGCTCCTGAAGGGATTCACTTCTTCGGCCACAAATGATCTTACGCTTCAGCTGTTCTGTCAGCTTACACCTGTTTCTCGAGTGCCAGTAGTGGACACATCGCAGGCTATAGGTGGGTAGAATGGTAGTGGCACAATTTTAAAACTTGTTCACACAGGTCTAATGTAAATAAATGACTCAAAAGCAGTGACAAACAGTAATTTCTTACTACTCCTGTCCCTTTGTAGACTTTGTCATTGTATAAACAAACAGTGTTTAAACTAGGCTGGCTTGAGCATTTAGAGTCTTGTCATGTTTTATTGGTAGCTTTTGTGTCTGTGAGCATTCTTTTTATGTTAATGGGTTCTTTCGTGCTTTAAGTTGTCTTATTTGTTGTAAAACAGTTTTCTTAATGCCATGAATCACATTAAAGGCCCAGACTTTTTTTTATACTACTCTAGATTAATTGTAATAGTGCTTGCAAGACATTTAAAACTAGTTTTGCAGGGTTTATTTTTTAATTATTTAAATTATTTAACTAAATTAATATGAAACATTTTTATTAGTTAAAAACAATGTTTTTTTTAGAAATATCAGCCCAGTATATTGATATTCTGAAAACATTTTCTAAACATCTAACCTGAAGTATTAAACTTCTGTAAATAATTCAGCCTGACCTTTTGTAAACCTTTTCAGCCTTGGTGGAAACACCTCTATGGATTTTTTTATGCATTATACTTGCCTGCATCTATTTGCATACTGAAGTGAGACTGAAGAGTGTCGTGTTGATACTAGTATCTTGTCAGCAGAAAACAAGATGTACTATTTTACACTAAACCAAAGCCTAAAATCCAATCTTACTTTTGTCTTAATATCTTGCTATTCAAATGGTCTTTTCTCTCATCTACAAGAGTGAAGACTGCTCAACCTGATATGATCCTTCTCTGCCTGCTCAGGTTTTCCTCTGAACGTGCTTTGCCTGCTGCCTCACTTGGTGCAACACTTCGGTAGCCCTACGCAGTTTTGTAAAGAAAGTGCTGAGAGGATTGCACAGGTCTGCCCCGCCTCCTTTTCTCTACACACTCCTATTATGAAACACACCCTGCACTTCATTGACATTTACACCTGAATGTGAAAACAAACTTGACTCATTCTCAACATCTAATCCTGTATTATATCCAACTTCAGAAGTGTTTTTTTCTAGACTTATTCAGCATTTAACAAGACAACTGACTCACAACATGCAGCCTAAGTATTTACAATAAAATATCAGCTAGTGTCCATATTTCTGCTGCCTTATTTACATCAACAAAATGTCAGTCAGTAGTAGCACACATATCTAAGTGTATATAGTGACACAACTGACCACAATAAATTAAATATTATTAATATTACACCATACAAATATAAAATGATCTTATAAGACCCCAAAGGTTTAAATTCCTACAATATGAAATTTAAGAATGTTTATTGTGTGTTTTCTAGGTGTGTCTGGAGGAGAAAGACAAGAACACTAAACTTTCTCATCTAGCTCATGTAATGACTCTGTATAAGACTCGTTCGTACACCAGAGACCCCTTCTCGTGGGTTAATGTGGTGTGCCGCTACCTGCATGAGGCCTTTTCGGACATCACACTCAGTCTGGTGACGTATATGGCTGAGGTAAGCTGTCCTGAGGCTTAAATGTCCAAATATATGTTACAAAATAGTAGATGTGCTGCAGCTGATATTGTATGTGAAGAGCACCCTTTTAATACCAGCTCTCTTCATAGTTGCTAGATAAAGGATTACCCAGCATGCAACAGCCCCTGCTGCAGATCATCTACAGTCTGCTGAGCCACATGGATTTGGCAGGAATTCAGGTCAAACCTTTAAATGTAGAGGTGCTAAAGACCATTGAGAAATTTGTACAGGTGAGATCCTTGCTGAACCACTTGAATTAGGATTCATCTGGTCATTTGTAAGAATTTCAGTCTGATTTGTTATTCAATATGTGTGTGTCCTCTAGACGGTTCACTGGAAGGAAGCACTGAACATTTTGAAGCTGGTTGTTTCCCGTTCGGCCAGCCTGTCCCTGCCGTCCTACACCCATGGTGACCTAGCCCACCTGGAGGTTAGCCGTATGATGTGGGATGGCTCATCTAAAGCCCTGCCAGGAAAGACACTGGAATTCCATTTTGACATATCCGAGGTACTTTACACAGTGCGCACAATGCATTTGTTCACATGCATGTTTTATTTTCTTTGCTGTAGGCAAAAACAACATTTATGCTTTTGAAAATATCAGTTTTCAGTTCAATTATACACCGCAGTTTCTCTGACTCATTCACCTCTTCAGGTGTGGCCGTGTGGTTGTTTTTGAACATGCATTTGTTATCAGATCCCGTGAAGGGCGCAGCCTCTTTTCCTTTGTTTTTGGAACATTTTAGGCCAAAGGGAAGTCGCTCAGGTTCTCAGCTCGCTTTCAGATGGAGAAATGGGGATAATAGTCAACTGAAGTTTGAGGAGATGTGTTTTGACTGAATAGGTCAAAGAATGTAAAACCTAAACAACCTCTGTTTGTTCAATATTAATCTTCGATTTCAGGGTTAATTCTGGTTATATTCATTTCATGTAACAACTGATCTGGAACAAGGAAGCCAATAATGACTGGAGAAAGATATCCATTTGCATTCCCATTCATCTCATTTTTGTAGTTTTGTAGCTGGTGCAGGAACCACCAGAAGTGTTGCTTTCTCAAGATATAACAAAGATCTCCTTGGAGCCAACTTTGTGTAAGATTGCCCTCTTTTGGCTTCATGCACAAGTACAGGATACCCTCAGTCCTCGCCTCTGGTCCACACTGATGAAAGTAGTGATATCGTGTCCAGATGTAGCATGTGCACAATGATAAGGAGTTCAGCAATTAGGCTATTTTTCCACACATGCTTTTTTATTTACAGGAAGGCTCTGACTCATGGGTAGTGTGAGCCTATGTGTGTCTACAAACTGCTCAGAGCCTGTTGTTGTGCTGGTGTGCTCATGTTTGTGTAGGGGGTTACGTGTCTGTGTTCAGTCTATATTGTAAAATATGTTTGTTTTTAAATGAGGGAAAATGAGTTTATTGTGTGCATGTATGTGTTTGTGTTCAGACGCCGGTTATTGGCCGCAGATATGATGACCTGCAGGGATCAGGAGGGAGAGATGGGAAAGCCCGCGCAATCGCAGTGACCCGTAGCACGTCCTCCACCTCTTCAGGGTCCAATTCAAACACCGTCTTGGTGCCAGTCAGCTGGAAACGGCCACAATCATCACAGGTGACAAACATTTCATGCTGTCCATATTAGTCAATGTACAAAGAAGAGAAACTTCATTTCATTCTCTTGGGCTGCTTTAAATGGTGTCTTTTAACTTCCTCTTTGTTCTTGATGACATTAAATCGGAGATTTCCTTTTCCTGGTAATTTCCTTTTGTTTAACAGAAGCGAACAAGAGAGAAGCTAGTGAATGTTCTGTCACTCTGCGGACAGGAAGTTGGCCTCACCAAGAACCCATCTGTAAGTCCTCGCTGTTGACTGTTGTTCATTAAGCTTTATATGACACTTATCACTTTGGTCTCATAGATTGCAGGAATAATAGATTAAATCTATGATTATTGTGCATCTAATGCCATAACAAATGAAGAACAAGTCTAAGTCTCACAAGGCATCTTAGTAATTGGACCATTGCATGATGCTTTATTTATGTACCCAGACTCCATGCTGACTCCACTGTCATGTTTGTTTGTCTCAGGTGATCTTCTCATCCTGTGGTGATCTGGACCTCATGGAGCATCAGCCCAGTCAGGTGTCCTCTGAGGATGGGACCCGGGAGGACACCTTGGATGATACCACATCAGAGCAACAGTTCAGAGTCTTCAGGGACTTTGACTTCCTGGACGTAGAGCTGGAAGATGGAGAGGCGAGTAGAAAATCTGATTGTTTTTGTCTCACACACATTTGGCCTTTATTGTACATATTATATAATATATTATTTTTTATACTACAGATGTGTTTAATTTAAAAATGCATCCACCACTGTTCAAAAGTTTGGGGTCAGTAAGATAAAAAAAAAAGGAAATTGATACTTTTATTCAGCAAGGGCACATTAACATGATCAAAAGTGACTGTCACAACATTTATAAGGATTTCTATTTCAAATATATGCTGTTCTTTTGAACTTTATATTCATCAAATAATCCTAAATAAAATTGGATCATGGTTTCCTCAAAAATAATGAACAGAACAATCATTTTCAACTGTGATTGTTAGCACATTAGAATATCTTCAGCATATTAGAATCATTTCTGAATGATGTGGCATGTGACAATGAAGACTGGAGTAATGGCTGCTAAAAATTCATGACATCAGGAATACATTTCAAAAATTGTAATATAAATAAATCACAATACTGTATTTTTGATCAAATAAATGCAGCCTTGGTGAGCATAAGAGATTTCTTTCAAAAACATTAAAAAGTCTTGATGACACCAAATTTTTGTTGATTTCTAAATACTTGACTATTTATGTATGTTTTATGTCTCTAACAAATAAATTTGCAAACTAAGAACGATTCCTTCCTTTTCCTTTTAAAATTATTTTGGTTAGTGTAATCGGATGTCATGTAAATAAATTTGGTTCCACTATTTTTTAATCAAATTGTTAAGTGGAATCAGAACTGAAGCCAAAATCATTGAATTAAATTAAGTTAAAATTCCTGTCCCTACTAACAAATGTCTTTGTCTTTCAGCTTTCTTTCTTTCCTTATTCTTTCAGTTATTTCATTCATGTTCTTTCTGGATTATGAGATAACACTTTAGCTGATCAGAGACTGCCTGACTAATGTGCCCATTGCATCCTCTGGTCTTTCTCACTGTGTGGCTAACACTCTCTCTCTTTCTCTCCTGTGCTGCTGTAGGAGCTGCAGGTAAGAACAGCATGTGACATAGAGGATGGATGAGATCATGTTTCATACCTGTTCAGAGTCACTTAAATGATGTGTGTCAGTGGTGTAGGCTCTAATCTGTCATAGGCTGCTGTGGCTAAAGAGATTAGTTGTTTTTTATGTGTTTAAAATATGGATGTCATATTACATACTATAGAAATGCATGTTAGCAGCATCTCATGCCAATATTATTGTTTCTTTCACATGAAATCATTCCTCACTATTTTAGTTAGAAAACTATTAAAATTAAGATTGTTTTAAAGACTTAGAGAAAATTGCAGGTCTAAGATTATTAAAAGCAGCTTTTTTGTGTTGTGTTTTGCTTTGTTTCCCCTAGACTACAAAGGAATGTACTTTTTTTTTGGCCAGATATTTTCAGATATTGGTCTATTGTGTTTACTATATGTTTGCATGTGTTCTTCTTTTTTGCATGATTAATGAAAAGTGTGTTATGTCTAGTTCCTTGGACCGAAGAGGCCAGAATAGTTTACACCCAACATCAACTCATGTTAGAGTATACAGCTGTTAAATGAGTGCGATGTGTTTGTTTTAATAGGGTGAGAGTATGGATAACTTTAACTGGGGAGTGCGCCGGCGCTCTCTGGACAGCACAGATCTGACTGAGCTCCTGGAGGAGAGCCAGCACTCTGACATCACCTCCTGCATCGGCCTACATGACGCCCAACAGGACACCGATGACTCCTCTGAGGAAGAGTCCAATTCAACCAGCCAAAGCCTCTCCCACTCTCAACTAGTATGTGCTCTATCTATCTATCTATCCTAGCTTGATGGTAGTTTCCTAAATCTGGGCATTTTCTGATTTCAGACCATGAACCTCTCCCCCTCAGAGGACACCAATCATACAGACTCTCTGTCCACTTCCTACGACACCACATCAGCTGACCCAAATTCTCTTAATGCTACTACACCTTGCTTGGGAGCATCACTACCAGATGACCACATCATGCCGCCTGTATGTTTAAAATTACATCAAGCCCATTAAAACTTATTCTGCAAGTGTGCACATAGAACCAAACATATAACCTAGATCTATTTCATCATGCAGTTTGAAACTATTACTGGCATTTTTGTGACAAATTTAGATTTGCTAATGTGACACCTCACATTGAGTTTGGGTCACACAATATTAAGTTGAATACAGATAAATTATTTTTACATATATATTATTTACAAATGTGTGTATTAACATTCACATGTATTTTTTTTATAATTTTGTGTTACATTAATGTTATAATGAAGAAGATAGAGCAGAATTTTTTTTCATTCAGGAAGGCAGTTGTCATGAATTGTGGTGTGTCTTCTGACAACACAGAGAACCACTTGACTCTCTCTCTCGTCTCTCTTAACTCTTTTACTGTAAATAATTTCTCATCTGTTGAATTGACCTCTAGGATGGAGTTTGCAACAATAAGAACAAACACACTGAGGAAAGAAGATCACCAGTGACCTTCTTTCATCTTCACAGGTTTTACCAGAAGACGAAGAGTCGAATGTCCAAGAGGATGACCTGCCATTCGGTGCTAATGAGCTGCCAATGAGGTTTGACTGTGGCTCTAGCACTAATCTGGACCTTCCTGCAGAACAAAACCGAGCTGGAATCAACCAGAACCCAAACTCCCTGCCCAGGTGAACACATCAGTACAGTTTTATAGCATTAGACTGTTAACTGGCATGGTTATTGAAGGGTAACCTCTTTTCTTCCGGTTTAAATAGCTACCATTTTGGGGAGGACCGAGATGATCTGGATGAGCTGGGCTTTCCTCCTCCACCCTCCCCCTTTTTCTCTGCCATTTTGGCAGCATTTCAACCCACGGTGTGTGACGATGCCGAAGAAGCCTGGCGGAGTCACATTAACCAGCTGTTGTGTGATACAGATGGGTCTTGTGCCGTCTACACCTTCCACATCTTCTCCACAATGTTTCAGGTAAAGTCACCCTTATATGTACACAGTCCAGTTTGAAAATTTCTATACGTATTAGCTATTTAGTTTTAATTTATTTAATTTTTAGCATTGTTAAAATGCATTTTCCTCTACAGAATATCCAGAATAAGTTCTGCTCCCTGACCAGCGATGCTGCCAGTTACCTTGGAGACAGCCTGAGGGGAATCGGGTCAAAATTTGTGCAGTCATCTGAGATGTTGGCCTTATGCTCAGACTGTCCCACGCTGTATGTGGATGCAGAAACGGTCAGTGGATTACATAAGTCTGTGCTTCAGGGACCTAACCTAACAAATATTATAAACAAGCAGTCAGAAAGTATTTTTATACTAGGTCTTGCCTCCTCTTGTAGATTGTTTCTTATGGGCTTCTAGAGAAGATGAAGTTCAGTGTTCTTGAGCTGCAGGAGTATCTGGACACATATAACACTCGGGAGGAAGCAGTCGTCTCAGTAAGTCATTCTAGCCTGCTAAGCTTCACATACAGAAGCACTTGAAGCTGCTAAATAGAGTTACTACAGTAGGTTGCACTACAGAATTGAGTAAAAAGACCTCCAATCTTGCGACTTACTAGAGGTGTGCCAATACTTCTTCAAGTGATCAGACTTACAATTTTCACAGGATGGATGATAAAACGGGCAAAAAATTCCATCTACTTCCATTGAAAGAAGCATCCTCTCTTCTTCTCCTCTTTCAACAGTGGTTGCAGAACTGTAAGGCCACATTTCCAAGGTATCCTGATGATGGTGTGATCACCTGTCAGCCTGGAGACTCTGAGGAGAAGGTAAAAATAGTCTATGCGAGCTCTTCCACCTTGCCACTGTTTACATGAATCAACATTCATAATATGTACACAATATTTCCTTTTAAATCTGTACATATAATGTCAATGGGTCATATACATTACTGTTCAAAAGTTTTTGGCTCACCAAGGCTGCATTTATTTGATCCAAAATACAGTAAAATCTGTTATATTTTGAAATGTTAATACATTTTAAAATACATTTTTTTATTTTAATATATTTTAAAATGCCATTTATTCCTGTGATGGCAAAGCTGAGTTTTCATCAGCCATTTCTCCAGTCTTCAGTGTCACATGGTCCTTCAGAAATCATTCTGATATGCTGATTTGCTACTCAAGAAACATTTCTTATTATTATCAATGTTGACAACAGTTGTGCTGTTTAATATTTTATTTTATATATTGATATATATGCATTGTATATTAATATTTTTGCAGAAACCGCTATTCTTTTTTCAGAATTATTTAATGAATATAAAGTTAAAAAAGCATTTATTTAAAATAAAAATATTTTGTAACATGTTTCTACTGTCACTTTTGATCAATTTAATGCATCCTTGCTAAATAAAATGATTAATTTCTTACTGATCCTTTTGAACAGTGGTGTATTTATCAATGCTATATTTAATATAATATTTCCTCACTCCTCTTCTTGTCACTCTGTGTGCCTCCTTATCGTCTGCATGATTTATATGGCTGGGGTTCTTGGACTGAATGTGACTGGTACTAATCCTCTAATTATGTGGATGGGATTTCTGAGCATAGTGGCACAGTCTCACGGATTGCATGCTGGGTATTAACGCTGTCTGTTTCTCCCTTCTCAACTCTTTCCTGTTTTATGACATGCTCTGCAGCAAATGGAAACTCTGGCTGTAAGTTTAAAACTAAAAACTGTTCTCTTATTCATCTGATAGAGCGAGAGATCTGTGTTTGCAGCTTTATAGTTCTCTACATGCATTCAGTTCACTTTACCTGTCAGCGAGTGTTTACTTGCATGATTTTACACAATCTTATGCGGAATAAGCACACTTTAAAATCATGTAAATGGCTTAAACAGTGTTCAAGACTACAGAAGTAAAAAAAAAATGTTAAAATGCAAACATTTTCTTGAAGCATATTTTTTTTTATTGTTATGAGCATTTTTTATGCATATAGACATACTGTGTGATGGATGTTAGAGTTCTGTATTTACTCTTTGTGGCCTTGAATTTGTATGATTCCTTTATTATGTCATGTGACTAATGTATCTATCATCCACAGCAATTGGAGTTGTGTCAGCGACTGTACAAACTTCACTTCCAGCTCCTTCTGCTGTTTGAGTCCTATTGTAAACTCATCGGACAAGTGAACACCATCAGCTCTGTGCCAGAGGTACACAGTACACCCATTACCCCGCAGATACACCTAATATCTTTTTGGATGTCTTAATTAGAATTAGAATTAGAATTGATTCTAATATTTTCTGTAATGTGAGCATTATTTAAATGAGCCTGAAATAAGTCTAAACAAACATTATACAATTTAAATAGCAAATAAAATGTTTGATTGCAAAATAAATGAATTTGGTGACAATTTGGGCATTCTACAGTTACAGCGGTAACCTTAAACATAAAACAAAGAAATATGTAGTGCATCTTTGAGAAATCAAAAATTTAGTAATTAAGCAAAAAATAAATTTGTTTGGCTGACTATAAAAAACTAGCCATTAGCTGGTTGACTTGTATTGTTGATTGAAAACACTCGGTCCTGATCATGTGCTTTCAATCTGTAGCTGTGGAACATGTCGCGTGAACTGAGCGATCTGAAGAATTGCCTGCGGCTAGCGGAAGCCTCATTAGCTGGTGATCTAGAGGATCGGCAAAGCCACGGCTCCCAGCCCATCTTCCCCAGCTCAGAGGCAGCTGTACAGGCCATCCTGGAGTGCTTGAACAACAACGAGTTCTCTATGGCCATCCGCTACACTCAAGAGTGCAGGTGAGATATGACACCAATAGGGGGAGACAAAACTCTGTTTATTGTGACACAGATTAAAGTCGGCATGAAAAAGAAGTTGCGATTGTCTTTTCTTCTCTACTGTGACGTATATCCGAGTGAAACGGCATCTGAAATGAGAGGGGGGAACTTGATTTCGTCCTTCGGTAATTGATTGGATCGTTGGAAGGTGGGGCGTTGCAAACAAAATGGAGGCAGATCTGAATGCCAGTTTCCAGTTAGTGGTGGGGGACTTCTCTCCACCTGGATTCACAGCCGACACCCAAGCATGAATAAATGTTTTATTTATTAAGGATGACGATGATGACCAATGGCACAAAACATGCCTAAACAGCGCGCGAGAGAGAGAGACTGCCTGAATGACTGAGCGCGTCCTCCATCAGGTTAAGTCATATTCATGAAAAAAATTAGTTTGCGATGTCCTAAGAGTAATGTTGTCTTAATATCCTAATATCTTTTCGATGTTTAGGGGTAACGTACTCCCTCATGACTGGTGTCAGTGCTATAAAGTGAAGCATCAGCTTCAGCTTTTCCCCGTCGTTTATCCCAGCGTTTACCCCTCACGTCACTAGCTCCACCCTTGCGCCATAGCTCGTGACCGGAAGAGAAGAGGAGTCATTTTGAGGGGGAGGGGAGGTTAACGTTTTTGATTAAAGATTACAAGGGCACTGATAAATTATTTATAATAAACACTACAGTATTCTGCTAAAAAATAAGAATTTTCGATTTTGATTTCATGGTGAATTCTTTGCACATATCCAGCAATAAAAATATACACATTTTTCTAACTCTGGCTTTACTTTGATGTAATGTTTTAAATTAATGGATGTGTTGCAGGGAGTGAGTATAAAAAAATCTATTATAATTGAAACTTTTATCTATTTATTTACCTATCTATCTATGTATTTATATATTTATTTAATACATTTTAATAAATGTAGTTTTTATTTTTAATTCAGTTAATGTTTTCAATGATTTTAAACAGTAACACTGGTGTGTTTAACTGCATATTATTTTTCATTGTGGTGCTGAACTTCTACTGGTATTGAAATTTTTGTTACATGTGCTTTCTTCTACTTTTTAGACGAATGTGGCCAAATGACATTTTCGGTGGCAGCTCAGAAGATGAGATCCAGACTCTCCTCAACGTCTACTTCCGCCACCAAACTCTGGGCCAAACTGGCACTTTTGCCCTGGTTGGCTCGAACAAGGACATGTCAGACGTCTGCACAAAGATCATGGAGCTCAACGGAGAGATCCGGGACATGATCCGCCGCGCTCAGGGGTACCAGGTGATCTCATCCAGCCTCCTGGACTCCAGCGTGTCCGGCGTGAGTCTCTGACAGGAAGCCTGCAGCACCCCAGACCAGCCCTGGCCTGGACCGCCCGACCACTGGATTCCTCCATAGTCACCCAACCTCTCCTGTGCCAACCCTCATCCCAAGACCCTCCACTCCTGCCACCCGCTCCAGGCCAGATCCAGTGTGACGTTTGGGAGTGCTGCCACCCTTTTGAGGGTGTAACTCATAAACTTGTGCCCTTCTTAGGGAAACTTGCACGAGCATCCTTGACTGTACTGAATAGGAAGGGGCTCCTGAGGATGAGCGTGTCCTCAGGTCCTCAAATGTGCAGCAATAATGGAGAAACGGAGCTGCTCCTGCGAGATTCCTTGGATTGAGTCACTCAAACGCATCTATTAATTATTGCACTATGTTGACATTTTCATGTCAGAAACCATGAGAAGAAAAAAAATCCTGTTTGCTACTGAGAGCAATGCTGCATTTTTGGAAAGGAAGCACCCAAGTGAGAACTTCCACTTGGTTTGTTTGTTAACGTGGGGAATGTGCAATGATGGATCATTGAAACGGATGCCTTTCTACTGTAACTGTTCAAGAATGTCTTTAAAATTGATCAGGACATGCTGCAAAACTGAAGATGGAACAACATAGTATACTGGTTGTATGTCTTCGGTCATGGTCACGATACTTGTAATTGTTTAAAGCTGAGAGTTTGTGTCTTTGTGAACCTGTCCATCACCGGCGTACCACTAAATATCAGTCTCCACACCTGCACATAGAGACACGCGCTGACATTCAGCGATTTGTTCATTCAACTGATAAGCTACTACTGCTGAAGCTGATTCGAATTCAAGTGCTGATATGAGATTGTTTGGCTGTTTCAATCAACGTCCTGTGCTCCACCATACATAGGCTCACGTTTAGGGTAAATTTGTATTTAAGAAATCAGTGTATTGAACATGGTTTTCAAAATTGTTCTTTGTCAGTTGCCAAGCATGCATTACTGTATTTACTTTCGAATTGTATTTATTAAAAGTTGTATTTTATTAAAAGGTTTTGTATAAAGTGGAAAAGGGAGGTATCACATGGAGATTAGTGTCACTAGTGCATGCCTAGAGAGATTGCACATTATAAAGCCTCTTTGGGAATATTGTCACCCCCCCCCCAAATGTAAATACTTAAAGCTTTTGTGAAGTAAATTGCGCTTTCTTCATGTTGAGATTTGGCAGTTTGTCGTTTCAGTTTTTCTGGCATCTGCAGTGTGCAACAAAAGGAGTAATTTTGCACGTTGCATCGGACATTTTTCAATGAGAGTTCATGATTTTAGGAGGGGAGGTTACCTAAAGAAATGAGCAGTAACCTTTTTTTTTTATTCATTCATACATGACCTCGAGTAAAATATAACATTAACAGCAATTGACCTTCATTGCATGGAATGTCATCAACTGTTCTTTAAAAGGGATAGAACAAACCCCCCCCCAATTCCGAACCTGTATGCACTGTTCTTGCGGACCTCAAAAGGTCAATTTGAGGAATATTGGTATCCAGTGCTGGTTCCCATTTACTTAATATAGAATTGTCAAAATACAATGGCAGTCAATTGGAACAAAATGGTATAGTTAGAAACGCGTTACAAAATGCCCTTTTTTAAATTGCGAGCAAATTAGTTTTTTTTGGGGTGAACTACCCCATCACAAAGCAGAAACATTCACAGACACCAGTAATATGCTGCAATACTTTATTGGTTTTTATAAATGTATACATTAGAATACAAAAATACAACATCCCACACAAAACAAAATCGCTTGAGCCACCAATGCAGATTCTAAAACTGACTGAACAATCAGACTATGTACTTGAAACTGTAGATGGTGTCACAGGAAAGGCCTTTGCCCTTGCAACGGCCACACAGATCCTGGCGATGAGGACGACGCATGTCAATGTGCCTCTGCTTCTGTTCACAGCAGCAGCGAGTCTTGCAGCAAACCTTGTGAAACAAAACATCGTCAAACATTACAAACAACTTTATATGCATTTGCTACACCAAATCATACCTGGCACTGAATGGCCTCCACCCTATACGGATTCAGCCCTGCCTGGCACTTCCTGCAGTGCTGCTTGAAGTACACCTGTGGAAATGGCATTTGATTAGATTTAAATCTTAAGTTTAAAAGTTTGAATCAATGCATTTTACCTTGGAGGTTCCCGAGATGCACCACACGAACGCACTTTCCCATCGAATATTGCACTTACTGCAGTGATAAAATCCATATTTCTGCTCCAAAAACTAAAGGAGAATAAATTGTTAGAATTCTCATGATCCGTTTTCACCAAAGTTTTGGTGAAACTTTGCCGTTTACAATGTAGTTTTGAGAAACCAACAACCAATCAGAAACTCCCTCAGTGTTTTCCTCATTAAATATTAATGAGGACAATACCACCCCCCCAAAACAAAATATATAAAAAAAAAAAAAAAAAGTGAATAACTGCATTTTTCAAGTTGAGAATAGACGGGCATATCCTCATTAGAAGTCTCCTACTCGTCCCGAGTTCTGAACGCTCAATGCTGATTGGGTGAATACAATTACTTGCATATTCATGAGGTCAAATTTTATTCGGCGATTAACCAAGTGATTGCAACTACTTGGGATTAATTACCAACTCATACATACATATATATATATAAATAAATAAAACGCACACATACATAACTCGGAAGTACAATATCCACTGTAATTTGGGGGAAATTGTGGCTGCATTGGTAATCTCCCCACAACAAACCTGAAAGTTAGACCGTTTATTTCGCCGAACCACTGACTTCCGCGGCAGTGATTCGTTGTGCGTGGGTTCATCCGGATTACAATCCTCATCGTCGTCCGTCTCGCTGTCCGTCCTCTTGCTCTCATCCCCTCCATCGTCTTTACTGCCACCGACGGTCGTGGATAAGGAGAAGATCCTGCGGTCGAAGACGGGAGAGTAGATGGCGACGGGCCGGGAGAAGCGCACGAAGTTGACGGGTGTGCTGGGCAGGGTGTCTTTCAGAGGGCTGACGGATGGCGTCCTCGGGGAGTCCCATTTATCACCGCGATAAAAAAGCGTTTTGTGCCCGAGTGAGCATTGAACAGTGGCATCTACCTTTGGGTTCACTTGCACACCGAACTCTCTAGTGTTGGCCTTGCGGAGGCGCGGCGTTAGGTTCGGGTTCACTTGAGATAATATGGCTTTTAACTGCGCACGCTTATAAACGTCGAAATAATCGGGGGCATCTGGCGCAACATACAAATTGTTTCCCTTTTTGTTCCAGTTCTGGTGCTTAAATTTCCCGTTGCTGGGATAAAAGGGGAAATAGCCAGGATACCCTCCGCAGCTGTAAGGTGGAATGAGAAACTCCTCCATTGTAATGTGACCAAGAGCTAAGGCACTGCTGAATATTTATTTTCTTACGGAGAACACGCCTTAATTGGCGCTACCTAATTAGCATTGATCACGTGTGGGCGTGGCTCAGGGAGAGATTGCGGATGTGACGCATTAGCATCAGGTGCATTTTTTATTTTTATATTTAGCATTTAGCATAGTATTTGACATGACAAGTCAAGCCTTGGTTCCTCAGCTATCCTGCTTATCTTTAAAATAGCAATTTTACAGTGAAATTATTTAGAGATGATCACTGTAATGTTCTTATAATAACTGAGAGACACCCAGTAATATTTGCAGTTTTAAAAATTATTTGTCACACCACAGGACGAGGTGAATTATAAATATAAAATACAAATATTTATAAAATAATTATTTTAAACATGTATTATATACATAAATATAAATATGTGTTTCTAAACATTTTTAAATAAATAAAAAATAAGGTGATTAAAATAGATTTACAGAATAGTCTTTCCTTCTACTGACTCTTTTACTGGAGATTTGAATAGCAGTAATAGTTTGTCCGGTATGTTGCTAGGCATTCAAATAAGCGGAGGGTAATAAAAGGTGGATTTGAAAAGCCTCTGTGCCCCTGTTATGCAGTTTATGAATAGCAAACAGAGAGAACTAAACTAAAGGTTTATTAAGGGTCTTAAATTCTAGGTTCACTATAGTTCAAGCTGTTCAATCTAGGTTGCATTACCAGGTTAAGGTGTGTTTTTGTTTGATGATTGAGGAGGATATTTCCTGTTTTGTTTATTTCATAATTAAAAGAAAGTATGAGAAATCGGTTATTAACTGTATTGCACAATGGGTTGTCTTCAAGCACTGTTAGTAGTAGTCGTCGTTTAGCAGACCCTCTCATTCAAAGTAACTTTTACATGTTAAGAACAGCCCCATTGGATCAACTTAAGCAATAAGTGAGTCTTCAGTTCATGAATTAACAGCCTTTGGATTACCACCACCTCCACATACAGAGGAAGGCCTGAAACGTTTTAGACACAAATATGCGTCACTAAGTAAGTTCAGTGCTCAGTGAGTGTGTTGTTTTTGTTCCAGCTGAAAGCACACTTTGGATTTGTTTCTTTCGCCTCTTGTGTTCTCTCTTTCCATCCAACCATCTCTATTTATAATTAATCTATATGGAATAAAATCATTTTGGCTATAACATTTCAGAACATTTATGTCAGTGTAACACAATATTACCATTCACTGTGATATGAAAAATACATTATGCTTCACCACCCAATATAAATTCATACAAAACTGACCTTTAACAGGTGACTGACAAACAAGCCTTGCAGGGAAACACAGGACTCACACCACTGATTTTTCCTCGTATTGATGGCACAAGGTAAGGAGATGTGTTGTAAAATGAAACTGTGATATTTAGGTGTTAAAAAATAATATTTTGTGATTTTTTGGTGATTCATAATGTTTGGTGATTCTAGAGAGCAGTAGTTCCTATAAACAGAACATTAGAAACATAGAAATATTTTTTCCCTATCAAAGTAATAAATTATTAAATTAATTGAATTACAGTATGTACATTGGCAGTAAATGTGACTGTAATATTGATGTTTTGCCTGAGTCAGACAGGCCAACAGCCCAGATAATGTGAACATGGCCCCTTCAGAGGGCCAAATGGGTGGTTTAAAGCTAATAAAACAATCCCAGGGAACATATTATTGGCATTAACATATTACAATGGCAGTTTTTCCTTCTGGTACCGATCGCGCAGGTGCACAATGTCATTAGCCTTCCAGATGGAGAGAGTTTCCATAAATGCAGTCTGATATATGACACAGACAATTCAATTAAATGCATGTCTGTTTCCAAGTACATATTACAGTACTTTTACTGTAAAATGTTGATTTGTTTTACTTAATCAAGCTCTAGCTATTAAAAATACACCTGTTTAGCACTTACACAGAATACAGTTGAAACTGTGCAAAAGCATCCAAAACAATATTGGACTGACCAATTCAAAATGACCATATGAAGGATTTAAAAAAAAAAATCTATGCATTTTTTAAATACATTTTACATGTCCGGACTGTTAACATTAATGTAATCTACTGTAGCTGTATTTCATTCATTAATTGAAAGTCATTGGATAACCCGTTTGGATTACTGGATAACTAGGTGATCAGTATTCCTAAAACATGTGGTTCATTCATAGGTTTTGAAGTCTTAAAAGATATTCAATTGACCTTTAGAGCCACTGAAGAAATCAAAAATTGTTTGTTGTTGTTGTTGTTATACTGTATAATCATATTTGCCCTATCATACACAAGCAGGAGGAAATGTGTTATTATGGAGGCTGGAATTGCGCAGTGCTTGGATACCTATTTACCCGTCAAGTGCCTGGGTAATAATTGATAGATTTCCTGAGAGGACAAAAACGGGCCCAGATGGGGCCAGGTGGGTTATACCACAGTCGCAAACGGCCCGGAGTGAGGTAAGAGACACAGCTCACTTGTTTAACAGTTGGAAAGTTGTCCAGTTCTCTGACACCATGAAAGTTACATGGATTGTTTTGGCGCTTGTGTTGTTCAGTCAGCTACAGTGGACAGCAGCTGTTCCAGGCGCAGGACTGCACACATGGGATAGATTTAGCAAACTTCCATATCCCGGTGACAAAGCCTTCCTCTATGACAATTTCCCTGACAAGTTCATGTGGGCGGTCGGCACCGCTGCCTATTCAGTTGAAGGAGCCTGGGAGAAAGACGGGAAGGGTAAGTCTATCTGGGACACTTTCACTCGCGGAGGGACCCGGGTATCCAGAGGCGACGTGGGCAG